TATATTATACAATAACATCTTTTTAATGTATTTCTGTACTTTATATTAAATGTTTATTATATTTAAAATAAAAATTAATAAATCATATATTTTATAATTATGAAAATAAAATAATCCAACTTAATAAATGGGTCAGTGTCAACTGTCATTTTGACTCCAATAGTCAAATCTTTTCGCTTGTACAGGCAGTAAATTTACGCTTTTTTTTAATATTTTATTTACTAGTAGCTAATAATGGCATATAAGACGCTATCACAGCGTTGTCTTTCTCGTTGTCTACGTCGGCTCTTGCAGGTCGGAGATGGGACATTAACTTCAGGGGCCATTTACATAAGTATGGCCAGAGGTAATTGTACGAGCTCCGATTATCTCTCGTACGTCAAAAAATTCGAGTACTATATCCTTCATTCGAGTGGAATCAAACTCTTGATCAGACGAGATTTACAATTGACAAACAGATACCCGACCATCTAATCTGAGTACGCCACACACACACACACACACACACATATATATAGTCAAAAGACAAAAATATTAAGTATTGTTTCCTCTAGTTGGAACTCTGAGCTTGCCGAATGGAAGAATATCAGGATGAAAGATAGAAGGAACCCAGTTCGGGAGGCAATCATTCACAACCAACTCTCCCTGTGGATTTCAGAGCTCCTCAGCAAAGGGCCCCTCACAGAATATCTCTCCAGTCCTCTGAGACGGCTACTTGTCCAAGGAGGATTGCCCGTCGAATTGCGGCGGTATACATTCTATATGACGGCTCAGTTTCTATTAACAGTAAGAGTGTCACTTCTCAGAAATTTCCCTTGAAAGGGTGATCGAAGACCTTCCACCCAACCGAACTTCTTATGGCCGACTAGAGGCCTCAATCTAATTGAGAGATAAGAGTGTAGAGTCATCAACTGTCCCTATTCAAGCTGTTATGAATATGAAAATGTGCCAAATTTTGGTATGAGTATGAAAAGGTTCTAAAATCAGTTATGAAATACGAAAATGTGCCAAAATAAGTTATGAATTCAAAAAAGATGTGCACAATAACTTGTAACGATCAAAGGGGAAATATGTAACTGTACACTCAATACCCCCAAAATCTACAATTAGGGGAACATTTCTGCAACAAAGAGGTAATTGATTTGTCGTACCTAAGCTTGCATCTACTGTGCTCTCTCTCTCGCATCCTCATTTTCTCTTTGTTTCTTCCTCTCATCTTACGCTCTATTCAGTGAGTGTGATTCACATGATAGATTTGAATGCAACATTCTAAAAGGCTCGGTGAGCATGAATCATGCTAGTAATAAGAAGAGGAGTACACTACGGGGAATAAACTCATACGAGAGACACCACAAATATGGAGTACACACGGAAGTTTGTGCAATAGTAGATCCAAATGTTTTAATTTTATATTTTAAAAAGTATTATTTAATAAAATAAATTAATCAATAAAAAAATAATCTTGAATATATATTTATATTTAGATCTTTACTCCTATAAATAAATTTATACCCTTTTAAATATTTTGAGGTCCACCAATGCATACAAATGTTTTAAAAAAACTTTTTAGCAATCCTCTTTCAGTAACAAAAAAAAAAAACATAAATTCAAAAATTTCAATTTAGATATCTCGAGCTAGATCAAAATATCCGCCCGGACAATGCACGTTCGGCAGCCAACCATCGAGCACCATGTTGTCATGTATCTCATCAGCAGGCGACATGACGGTCGAGATTAGCTGTCCGGACGTGCTGACATCAACATTTTTTCTCCGTTTTATAGCAATCACCGATCAATTAAAAAATTGATATTCTTCAAAATTTAAAATATTTGGAATATTATAAATATAATTTCAGATCTCATCCGACATCTGCGGTGTATTTTGTTCTGTTTTAGATCACCTACTAATATTTTAATGCCATATAATTCCGTGCACGCATGTTTTATTCGACACATTCATGCATAGATTTCTGACATTATGAAAAAAAATTCTAAAAAAATAATATCACATGTTAAAAATATTTTTCAAATGTATATATATATATATATATATATATATATATATACCATAAATATTTGAAATGGAAGTAATATTTGAAATAGGTAGCCAAGTGTGTTGGTTTAAAGAATGTAATAAAGAATTGCATCATTATTCTACTCCCAATAATAGCATCATAATTCAATTGGATTAATTTGACCAGCGGACCACTCATGCACCAAGAATTGGAAGCATGACAAAGCTACACAAAATATGGCCACTAAGAGAGAAAAATATAGAAAAGAAAGAGTAATTGCAACATTTAACTGAGCTGCAACGCTCAATCGAAGAAAGTAGAAGTTGTAGAAAGAGTCATCACACCTATCAAAAGGAAAGGTAGACATGGAGGAGCATCACTTAATTGCTCCAAGCCATCACTTTATTGATTGAAGTGTAACTCAACCCGAAGTTGCGTGGAAGATTTGATTTTTCATCTTCATAACATGTGGAAGAGTGGGTCTCATTTAATCATATATTTAATCTTTTCCACCATAGCAAAAAAGGAAGAGTGGGTCTCATTGAAAAGCATTTCATTCCATTCCCACCAAATGATGTAAATAGGATTATAGATGATAAGCAATGCGAGCCTTTTAATAGCCTTAAAGCGCAATGAAAATTATTTGTAGAGTTGGTTGAGAAAAGCAATCATATTAAAGAGTAATCTCCTAATTACCCTCAAGGAAGTATGATTGCCAAAGACCGAGTGATAGTAAGTTTTACCAGAATGGTTACACATTTTACAAACCCATGTGCCCCATGGTTATAGAATATTAACTATTTTTAAGCTATTCAATAAAGCTACAACCAAGGAATAACATATTTGATAAAGTTACATTTTAACCAAATGTCTTCAAGTCAATTAAAATTTTCTTCATTTTTGAAGATGACATGTTTCAAAAGAGTTACAAAAATGATGCCCCCTCCTTTCAATACACAATATTTATTCTATCATTGAGTGGAAGAGTAGAACTAATATAAAAAAACATGAATGATAAGCCAATAATAATGACTACGAAAGGGCATAGTTCTCATTAATACCTAAAGCAGTGCTCACAGGAGTTCTCCAATATCTATTAAATAAAATAAGATAAAGCTTAATATATACAATAGATGATTTTTATTGTACAAAGGATAATAAAATGAAGAGAGCTATATACATCATCAATGTCATAATACAGTTTGTGTTTAAATAAGAAAATCACATTCTTAAGCTTTCTTTGATTACTATAGCCGAAACAATGGTTCAAGCTTATGTAGAGTCATTAGTAGCTATTTGCCATTAGAAAAAAATAGAGAAGAAAAATGCAAAAGTCAAAAGAAAAAAAAAACTTGGCTTTAGTAATAAGACTAAGGTGGTGATTGAATTTAGACAAGTATCACATATATCTATAGAAAATGTGGTATTCTTCTAAGAGAAAAGGTGAATTTTTCTATAGTGTTTCCTATCATATAAAAAAAATCTAATAGTAAGAGAGGTGATAATGAGGGTCAGTTTAGAGATAAAGATTGAGGAAAGCCCTAGATGATTTGATAGGATTAAATTTGACCCATAAAGATAAAACTTAAAAATTCATCCAACAAAGCAATTAATGCATTTATCAAGAATAGAGGTATATTTCACTTATAGCCTGTTAGTAGAAAGAAGTGAGCTAAGATATGTGATCGAGGGGAAAATACTCAATAGTTTGCTTTGTAAGCCCATTGAATCCAAGGTCATTATTCATAACTTTAAATAACTAAAGTAACTGATACAACATGATTAATTTCGAGCCCAATGAAATTGGCAAAATAAGAAATGCTTTGTTTGAGAGCATGAGTAGTGTTAGAATTTACCTTATCCATATTCAAAAGATATTATACACATAGAAGATGAGAGATAAAATAAAAAATTGGAGAGTATCTGAGGTGCCAATCTTGCGATCCTAAAGGAAGGCAAGAGAAATCATCCATGAAAATGGTGAAAAGAGTTGAGACTTAGTATCTCGTATTATCTGTCAGTGCATGCAATAAGGAAAATACCTTGTATCATAGAGAAAGAGTGAGAGAAAGGGCTAGACGAGCCTTGAGGGCGAAACCTTAGAAAATGTAATAAATTCTTATCCTCAGTAAGCTAGTAAGTTGGAGGAGTGCAGCTCCTTGGGGTTTTCTTAAGTTACAAACTTCAGAGAGAGAGATAGAGAGAGAACCCTCTTCCTCTATTTTTTCTCTTTCTTTTTATATAAAAAATAGAAATATAAAAAATAACAATGTAGTACATCTTGTACTATATAACACCCTTCTCTGATGTCTTCATGAAAAGCTATAAGTGTTAGCTGTTGTCGGTATGCTCCTATCCCTGGGGCTTGTATGAAAAGATCAAGCCCCTAGTGTCACACAATGTCTTTAATAATGAATTGATAAATATCTTTAATACTCATGATATTCTCCTTTGACAGCCACCCTTGCACGGGGTGGGCTAGGCTATTCGTTTCGAGTGTAATGAATATAATCAAAGCGACATGTGGGATCGATTCAATCACTTCGTCAGGTGAGCTCGATTCAACCGTTTTGGCAGGTCAGCTCAATTAAACACTTCGGTACGGGTGCTCAATTTAATAAATGAAAATTTCATATACTCTTATGTGTGTGTGTCTTTACATCTAAACTTTAATATCTATATTTATAACATTTTAATAATATAATTTTATAAATGAAAATTATATACTTCATTTAAAAAAAAAGTAATAATAATATTTTTATGTGTTACTAAAAATTTGAGTGGTAGATACATAAATCTAAACACTTATATGTTAGATATATAAATATAAAAGAACTATATAATATTTATATAAATACCAAAAATTTAAATGTATAACTGAAATATTTCTTCAACTAAAAATAAATAATATTTTCATTTAATTATTTATTTATCAAAACAACATCTAAACCTTAATAAATCAGCAAGATATCACAACCTCAACATTTCCTCCTACATCCAATCATCAGCCGCCACATCACCCATCAATAAAATGTACGCCCAAGTGGCAGCTAATGATTGGCTATGTGCCGTATCCATACCACAACGACATATTCCCTAATCATCTCGAACCGGTCCGAACCGGTCCATCTCATTCCCTCCGCCGGTTCACCCGCCCGTACGACCCGCCACCACTTCTCGCCGCCCGCGGCAGCGCCACGATCGCATCAGAAACAGAGCACGCCGTCTTGCACGAACCAGAAAAGCTCACTAAACCAAATCCGCCGGCAACCGCCGCACGTCGCCACACACCCACCCACTTCGTACCTGATCGCCGCCACCGCATTCCGTCAATATCCTCGCCGGAAGAGTCTTCAGCGCACCGCGCAAGCGCGACGGCGAAGGGATCGAAGTCGCCGGAGTCGCCGGAGCTAGATCGCTTGTTACGGGGGAAATTAACGGTGGATCTGAGCGGCGGGAGAGGGAGGAGATGGGGTTTGGAGGAATGGGACGGCGGGTGGAGTTTAGGGATTCCGGGCTGGTGTTCCCAGGAGAAGGGGACGGCGGATGAGGGAGACCCGTAAAGTTGGGGAGGATGATCGGAGAAGGGTTCCGGTGAGGGCGATGCGGAGAAGGGGATGGTGAGGAGAGAGAGAGAGAATGGTGGATTGAAATGCGTTTCTTTCATCGGGCGGCAGAAAGAGGTGGAGAAGTATGGTGGTCGCGGCAGGGAGGGGCTGAAAAAGGTTATTATGGTAGTTACATAAGATATTCCCTGTTTTTTTTTGCATGGAGGTCCTCCAAAAGAAAGATTATTGCGTACGTTAACCGCAAGCAAAAAATGTGTGCGGTGAACCAATCAAAAAATTTTCTCTACCAAAAGTGTATGTCAGTGGACCCCATTTTAATTTTTTTTTTGAAATTTTTATTAGACAGCGCAAATTGCGTGCACTGTCCGCACAGAATAATCACTCTCTCGAGAATGTAATTTTTACTTGTTGAATGATTATGTAAACAAAAAATTATGTTATTGAGAGCACATAATTTTTACGTATTTACATATTTCATACTAAAACTTTCATATTTACAAATAACATTTTGGTACTTTAAAATTATGCATAAAAAGGTGTATTTGAATTTAAAAAAGGTGATGATAGTATTATTTTTAAAACTATAATATGTAATATGTAAGGTTCATATATTTTTTTAATTATTATTTTTTTAATTTTTGATAATATGTTTAGTTCGTATTTTTATGTAATTTTAATTTTAAAGAATAAATTAATTTATTTTTAAAACACTCAAGATAACTTCTAAATGTTTGAATATTTTAAAAAAATGATCATATTTAGCTTAGTATATCAAAGATATATTTTTTTTAAGTTAAAATATAAATAAATTAAATTAAATGCAAAAAATAGATAGCATAAAACAAAGTTGATACCAAATGATCTCTACAATTTTGATACTATTTTGTGAATTAAAAATATATTATAATAATAATATAGTATAATAATAATGACATTAGATTCCTATTATAAATATTAGACACATATTCTAATATTTATATTATAGTGAATAATTTAAATAGCTCTAAATCCTTTGTTAAGCTCATGATGTTGCTTAAGGAGATATTGAGAATTCGTCAATAAACTCTGAAATAAATAAATAAATAATATGAAAATTCATAAAAAATCTATAATATGTAGGAAAAAAATCATTGAAAGGAAGCGAAAAGGGGGACATTAAAGATTATGTGTGTGTGTGTGTGTGTGTGTGTGTGTGTGTGCTTGTGTGTGTGTGTGTGTGTGTGTGGAGCAATCTATCCCGAAATTCCAGAATTCACTTACCTCTTTAAGGTTTCATCTCCCTTCACCAGTGCTTAGATAATTGGAGGAATCGAAACCATAACACACATCTCTTGAACCTTATGCCTTACATCTACTACTAGTTTTTATAGCTGGAGAGGAGCCATAGAAAGCATCTAAATGAAATCCTAATAGGATTCTTATTTACATGAAATTTTTCATCTTTAAAGTAATCAAGTATAGCACTTCTGCTAAGCTTATTTATGATTTGGTGGAAGGTTTTGCTCCTTTTTCCCAATATATTCATCTAAATAGACAACAAAAAAAATTTATATATTGGATTAAACCCTGCTGCCCATTTATTAAAGGCCATGTAGATGGTTACTTGAAGCCTTCAGCAGCTGCTGTCGAGGGTATTTTTAGATATTCAACTAGTAGATGCATCATTGTCTTTTTAATTCCTTGCATTGATATCTCCGCACATTGTTTTGAGCTTGTTGTTGTCCTCAACAACTTGATGGTGGACAAATGTTTCAACTTCAGCTTCCTAATTGTGAAGATGGATTCCTCCTCTATTTATCAAGCCTGCATGAGGACTTCTATTTTGCCTTGGTATAATGTAAATATTAGAATAAAGATTATATCCTTGCTACCCATTTTTACTATCACATGGTTACTTGTAGAGAAGCAAACATACCCGTCAATTTACTTGCCAAGTTAGGTTCTAGAAGTGACAATGTTTCTATTTTTTCTTCCTTTTGTTATGAGCTCAAGGTATTGCTACATCGTAACAATTTAGAGCTTCCTTATATTAGGCCCATTTTTTAGCTCCTTTGTAATATGTTGAATGTTCTTTAATGGATCTTTTTTCCTTTAAAAAAAATATATGAAGGGTGATAGACCTAAAGTCTGGAATGATGGGATCTTATGAAGGATTGAATGTTGATGAAAACTATTTCCCCCAGGACTCTCTTAAAATAAGAGTATACAATAATAAAGAATAAAGTATATTAGAAATATGTATTTCTTTTTTCAATAGTGCCATATTATTTAGAACTAGCTCTATAAAATATGTGATAAATTTATCAAAACATACACAACCCTAAGATGCACCTACAATGTGTTATGAGCATTAAATGCTAGGTTTGGATAACTACACAAAAATCTTATAAATGCTCAAAAAGTTAGAATGATGTTTTATAATTTAAAGCTAATTTGAATGAATTAGATCATTTGATGCGACAAAATGGAAAATATTATGATCAAAAGGTAATGTAAAAAACCTTTGTTAATTTGCAACCACTATAATAAGAGATATAATGAGTTTATAGTTTTTCTAATGCTTCTTTAGAACTAAAAATTTCAAATGAGATGGCACATAACCTTAATGCGAATATTCTAGATGAAAGGTTGAAGCAAAAAGATTCAAATGAAAGAAAAAATATAAATAAATAATAAAAGTTGTATTATCTATTAATTTTAGTTAGCCCAAACATTGTCTATGGTTTATCCTAATCAACTTCTAAAAGCATGGGTCAAAAACATGAAAAATAATGAAAATCATTGAGATTAAATAATTGGAATCACATAACTAATCACTAAAATTCATATTTAATGTAAGTTGAGAAAATTGATAAGCATTATAAAGAAGTAGTTTAGGTGTGGCAATAGAACCAATACCCACAAAGGGTGTAAGAGCGCCATCAATAGTCATGATAGAAATTGGATTAGAAGGAGATAAGGAAATATATAATTGAGAGCTAAAAAATATATAATGAAAAACCATAGAGTCAAATAATAAATTAGAGAGGAATAACTACCAAATTAAGGGCTAACAAACCCGATGTGATAGAACACATGACTGTGTGGAAATGAGCATCTTAAACTAATCAACAAAAAAAAAAATCCATCATAAAATTACTAGATCCAATTGTTATAGAATTATACGTCGGAGACTTATAAGCATGTTACTGTGATTAAGACAACGAACATTTTTGTTCAGCTTTATATAATAATTTTAAAAATTTGTGCCTCCAATATCTTTTTTATTTACAAAGCTTATATCCAATACAATTAGGATAGAAAATTAGCTAATTTTTTTGTCATTTGAGTGTGTGCTGGATTTTTGATATGTAGTTAATATGTGACTAATTTACTTTGAGTTTATGTTAATATTTTTTAATTGGCTCTAGTAAATTATTTTTTATATTTTATTAAACTCATTCAAGTTGCTTCATCCAGAGAGCTCCTCCTATTACTTCCACATACGATAAGTTCCAAACCGAGAGATGGACGCTTTTGCACCCATATTGCATTTAGCGCAAACCGTGGCTTTGGCGCTTTTATGCACCCAATTCAGTAAGTTACATCGCTCTGACTCCAGACCACACCACTTTAGCGCTCGAGAGAGTTAAAGCAATGTTTTCTCTGACAGAGGGATCTAGAGGTCAGATGAAGGAAAATCTGGAGTCATTGAATTGAAGATCAATCGGAGAATGTGTGTGGCATAAGAGACATTGTTAAGGAAGATAAAGAGATAGCTTTCTGCCTTTTTTTTACTTCTCTCGTTCCAGGGCAAGAATTTGGAACTGTTATTTTTCTGGGCGATCTTTGTAAGTGTGAGAAGTGAGAATTTGAGAGATTTACCGTGATTGAATGCTTGGAATTTCAACATTTCTGGAGTGAAGGAAGGGAGAAAAGTTCTGAATTTTTATTTTGTAATTGATTTCATTTCCATTGTATGACTTTTGTACTATATTTCTCTTTTAATCAAATGATCAAGTTGGTGTGTTCAAGCATGCAAAATAAGTAAACTTTTCTTTCTTCCTTGGGATGGGGATATAGGAGAGATGAATGCGAAAGTTTCTTTATGTATTTGTGTTGGCTAATGATGGATGATGATTAACTTATTGCACTTCATTTAAATTTTATTTTGGCCAAGCGGCCTGTTAATATGTGTCGTGGGTTACAACTCTCAGAAGAGATGGTAATAGAGTCGATAGAATCGATCACATTAATTTGGTGGAATAAGGATATATCTACTAAATTAATACAAACTTATAGGGAGACATTGGTACATGAATTAAAAGTTGGAATTATGGAACTAATTTGCTTTTTAGCAATTCTTTCTTATTCCACCTGAAGGGGGTAAGTAAGGATTTTTCTTTTGTATATCATTGATATATTCATTTAACTGTCACATTCAATGAGTTATTGAACCATTCCAAGGGAGAACTTCTCAAAAACTTGAATAACTCTTTGCTTTCTTTATTAAAAACTTAGAATTTTCTTATATGATTTAAATTAAATCAAAACTTCAAGCTAGGATCAAAATCTCTAGGCAAGAACTTTTCTTAATCAAGTTCATCTTGTTCCTTGTGAGATCAATAATCCGGACTCAAACCTGATACTACTGATACACCACATATACTTGCGTGAACCGCCAATGCTTTACAGCACTTGTTGCGTGTCAATTTTCGTGCAACGCTAAATAATCACCCCACCACCGCAAATCTCCCAACACTCATCAAACTTAAATAATTTTTCTTGCTCCAATCTCACACAAATAGATTATAATAAATATTTTCCTTCACGAGTTACGACGATGAAAAATAATCGCCCCACCATCGCAAATCTCCCAACACTCATCAAACTTAAATAATGTTAAATACATACCACACAATTTTTATGTATTTACATATCACACACCTAAAATTACATATTAAAATGCTATGGACGTTAATATGAAAGTTTAGGTGTCTAGATATGTAAATACATAAGAATCGTGTGCTGCCCATGCAAATTTCCCAATTACAAATTGCATGCCATCAAATTAATGTCAACCAAGCACAAAATTAGTAAAATGTTGTTGCTGTTGATGGGTACAGCATGATCACACTTGTGCGGTGCTGAAGCGGCCAACTTGCATCAAATGCATTTCTTAACGACATTTGGTCAATGAGAAATGTTATATCATTAAAAAAAACCCTTTTTTATTAAAAAATATTCTATATATATTCTAAAGCTTTGTGTTACGTGATGTGGAATATTTACTACGTTTATATATATATATAAGGTAGACATTATTATTATTTAGACTTCGCTAGGACGGCAGTGTGTCTGTTTGGGTAAACTGTATTTTGATAGCTTTTTCAAAAAGCTACCGTTGAATTCTACGTTTTCCCACTTTTTTTGACCAAGTGCATTGACAAACTTTCTAGCTTTGAACATCAGATTATTTTTCAACAGCTTCACAACTGTTTCTTAATAAACTGCAGTTGTCGTACTGCATTACGTGAAGGCATTTTAAAAATTTGGCAGGCCTAATAGCATTTGCTTTGAATTTGTCTAATATTATCAGAATTATTAGCTTCATTTAATCACAAATCAGTTTAAAGTAGTATCACCCTTAACCAAACCTTTTTTAAAAAACATGTTCGGAGGAGGCCAACAACAATCTAAAATTGTAAGATCTTGTTATTCTTGTGAAAGAGCTTCGGAAGTCATTTGGAAGACGCTGCTTCACCAAATCAAACAATTTCCATATATCAGAGTTAAATGTAACCAAACAGAACTTCATCGTCTTCTCAGACAAAGCCTTCATAGGTCAATTAAGAGTTCACTGCATCGAGAGCTTTGTGATTTTATTCAGATTTAAAATATTTCATCAGAGAACGTTAATCTCCAAGCGCTCATAAACGAGAAAAATTTTTAGGTGCGGAGTTCGCACATACTAACTGCGGCTAAGATTAACAAAGAAAAAAAAACTAAGTAAACAGACCTCCGTTATATCACAGCGGAGGTCTGTATGTGAAGATTCCGCACGTAAAAACTTCTCCGTAAACGAGAGAATGTTAGGTGACACCACGCAACCATCAATCGATTAATAAAAAAAGTTGATTTTAATGATTAATACACAGCAATAAAAAATACTTTCACATTAAATATTAAGAACTCATTTTTTATCAAAATAAAATAATAAGTCATGCTGCTCAACAGGAATAGCTAAATAGAATATTTATAAAAGAGCATTTACATACATACCACCCAATTCCTATGTCTTCACATATTTAGCACCAACTTTAATTTTTTACATTTATGCCACTAAAACCTTTCATATCACATACAAAATACCACCATTTTAACTTCTAAAGTGTGAAGTACACCTTCTCATGTATGGGCAAAGTGGCATGTATGTAAAAGTTGTGGAGTTTAGGTGTTAGATATGTAAATCCATAAGACTTGAGTGGTATATATGTAAATCTTCCAAACTAAGAAAGAGGCCAAGCTAATTGTTTTAAGGTCATGATCAACTATGGTTGGTCGGCCAACAAAATTAATTAACCATATTTACCAAAAATCTAATTTGAACACATACAATGAGTCAAGCATGCCAAAAATGCCAATAAAACAATAGCTATAAACATATTACAACAACATTATTTCCATGTGAACCCAACTCAACCAGATTAGAAACCAACAATAACAGTCAGAAAATCTGATTCAGTGAACTGAACTGTCCAATAGATGACACGATGAACAATCTAAGGGTGCGTTTGGGGCAGCTTGTGCTTATCTAGAAAAGCGGACCACAGGATTCAACCCGCATTCCGCGTTTAGTGTAAAAAACGAGTTGCATTTCGGATAAGCAGCTCAAACGAAGTTTTCAAATGGTGAGACGACGTTTTCAAAACACCTCCGCAGCGGATAAACTGCCCCAAACAAGCCTAAAAGAAGCAACTTTCTATATACACTCTAGTAAAAGAAAAAAAAAAGAGATGGAAACCAAACATAAAAGAGAATTCTACCAAGACTAATACCTGTGATAGCTTGAAGTACATCAACTGCATTCCATGGCAATAAACTACGACCCTTGGCTTGTCTTGTATGCCCAACCATGCTTCTTCAGGAATGCTCGAGCAGCTCCCTTGATGGCGAGGTTTGGAATCAACTTGTCCTTATCAAGAGGTTCTCTTGTAATTGGATCAAATTTACCCACCTGTGTGGACATTATGAAAAGAGCATTGTCATGATTATGTTTAACAGAGGTCAAAATTTAAATAACAGCATAATCATCATGTCATAAAAAACAAGGTTCTGAGATTAAAAATCATGTATTATAATTTTTTGGCAATGCTAATCACCTTTTGACTACATGGCCACCAGGAAACAAAACAAAGAACCAGAGGTAATTTTAAAAGGAAATGCATTTTATATGCCATTATCATCATATGTTGATAGAAAGAGATAAATAGATAAATGGATAGAGAGAGAGAGAGAGTATTTCAAAAAAATGTGAAAGATATGAATGAAACCTTTTCAAGATGTTCGAGAAGTACAGCTTTTTCATAAGTAACACCACTTGGAGTGATGACGGGATCCTGGAAGATATCAAGTGTGATATTGCAACATAAATAGTCAGGTACCTGGAAATAGCAAAACAAAACCATTAACACTTGTATAAGATATCTATAATGTGTGTAAGCGAAAGATTAGACTCAGCTATCACTTCTCTAGGTGTGTCATCCTCCAATGCTTTGCTGAAAACTTCATTCAAAAGTTCAAATTGGTCAACTTTATCATCTGGTGATGCCTGAAAGCAGTCTTCCGGCTGAGGATCTTGAAGAAACTGATGAAGCATAAGAGCTTTTTCACATTCAACCCTTGAGAATTTAAGAAGAGTTAGATAAAGAACAGTGGTTGGGTACAGAAACAAAGAGATTGGACAAGGAAAGTTACTCAGCAGAACTAAAGATACTACTTGAGTTTTTGCAACCGCCATGCTCGTTCGCTGGATGAAAGTTCCCACTCCATGTATTTGGCTCTGGCAAGAGCTTCCCAGATATCATGGACCATGTCCCCGCCAGAGTTTGCATGCCGCTCAAGATCAAGAGCCTGAAGTTAATAAATGATACAATTTTATTGTTTTGATAATTTGATATAGTTTAAGGTAAAAGGTAGTAGCATGCTATAAAATGACTCAAGAAAACAGAGCATGGATATCTCTGGTAGCTTCAAAATGCTGGCGACCAGGATTTTAGAGCCACAACTCCAATGAGTTTAGACTGCATCATTGGCTATGTCGTTAAATTTACAATGGAACAATCCATATACCACAATTTGATTGACCTGTCAACAGTTGTCAACAGAGTAGTTCAATGTAGCCTTTTATCGCGAGGGTCAGACTGTTATTTATAGGAAAGATGGAATATAATGATATAATATTGCACGCTTGATCCAATCCTTCAACCTCTGGATTCAATTGTGAAAATTACGAGCACAAAACAAGCTCAAAGTTTAATTTTTAGTTCATTCAACGTCAAAACTTACAAAACTTGATCATTTCCAATCCATGGAAATATGGAATAAAGACTTCTTAAGTTTCAGTTGCTAGTGACAAGCTAAAGGGTAATTCCAACGTGATAAATTCTGATTAGTCACCACTTAATCTAACTTATGAGACTGTATATTTCTGTCACCATTTACTAAATGTCGACTCGACCAAATACCTAAGTGAAGAAGGATTTCGCTAAACATGAACTTGACCTAGTGTTAGGAGAGGTCTTTTCGTAATTAATTAGTGGACATCTTTTCAGTTGTTTTACCTCTTAAGGGTAATCTAGTAATTAAGGGTCTAAGGGTTATTTGGACTAGGGCTAGCTTGCCTATAAATAGGCCTTTCTTTGGAGGGAATAAGGAATTCATTTTGGAGAATATTATTTCAGGTTTTCCTGAGTTGAAGGGAGGATTACCTGTTCTGGGATGGATTCCCCAAGTTTGGAGAGGTGATAAGGGAATGAGATCGTAGTGAAGTCTGGGATTTCGCCAAAATCGTTCTACCAAACTTCCCTCTCTCCTCCATAGATTCTGCATTTCTTGAGGCCGTCTACCCAAATTTTGGTTGCAAGAAATTTAAAATAGCAGCAGGACAGATTATTTCAGGTTTGGAGATCATAATGGAGTTCATGACTTCACCAAGATTGGTTTGCCAAAGACCTTTATTCTTTCTTTTGAGGCTGCCGCAGGGTTCAACCACTTCTCGTTTGCAGAATTGAAAGTTCATTGCGGCAGATTCATTGTCCAGCCGGTGCATTTGGAAGAAATCTTTGTTCTTGATGTAAGAATTTGTTCATACATCGGCCAAGAGAAGTCCATGTGTTCACACATGCATTTTTTGGGGCAAAAAAGGGCCAATGTCTTACTTGCACTTCCTATCAGTGCACAGAAATGAAAAATAGTGGTTGGAAAGATAAACTAGGGTTGCTGGTAGGGCTTTCCTGTGCATGAATTCTACCCTTCCTACTCTGTTTCCTATGGCAGATTAGATTCTGGGCTTCTATATGCAAATACTCGATCCAATAAAAAGAACAGCAGAATGATGATGTTGATTTTGATGATAAAGATGCGCATGAGAAAACTGTGTGGGAATCGATAGCTTGGCATACAGTTTTGACTATTTAAGTATGTTCTTGATTCTTACCGGTGTCATTTGGTATTATATTTTTTTAGTTGATGGCCAAACATTCTATCTATCTCAATGACGCGGCGGCGCCTATGCCTGGTGCGGGGGCGCCCTCAAGCCCTCGCGGGCGCATCAAGTGCCGCACACAACTTGCTCAGTCCAGGTGTGAGGGGGTTGAGAGGTCCTTCCTTGTGCACGGTTACCTCCTATTTGGGCGGGGCCCACCCAATTTTTTGTTGTCCTCGAATACAACCCTAAGATTATATATATATATATATATATATTTCTGTGTGTGTGTGTGTGTTATTTGTTGTGTTTGTCCTTTTTTTTGCTTCACTTTTTCTGCCGTCGTCGTCTTCCTTTGCTATGGCTGTGGTCAAGGATAGGTAGTGCTCACTGCTCCAAGGTGGTGATTTTTCCCTCATATTTCACCGTCCTCCATGCCCCCTCATTGCTACCGTATCCTAAAGCAAACGCCTACCTGTTGCCGCCCTTCCAGACCCCTATAGATTGTAGCATACCCCCTTTCAGCCCTCCAGCTTGCTTGCTGCTGCCTCCTTTTCCTACTTGCTGCCGCCAAATGCCAGACCTTCCCTGCTTGCTGCCGCCTCCTTCCAACCCCTTTATTCTTTCTGCCATTCAGCCGCCAGCCACCCCACATCTCTAGTTGCCACCTTCCCACCACTTTTCGGTTGAACCCTAGTTGGGTGTTTATGTGTGTGCACCTTTCTTGGTCTTTATTTTTGTTGCTTGTTTGTAATACACATTTGAATATCTCATTCCGTTGTGGTTTGCGTTAACTCTGGTATCACTCAAAAAAGACATCGAGGACAAGCCTACTCCAACCCGAAGAGAATGACAGTGTTAGGAGAGGTCTTTTCATAATTAATTAGTGAACATCTTCCTTTTCTTTTTCTTCTTAAGGGAAACTTAGTAATTCAAGGATCTAAGGGTTCCTTGGGCTAGCTTGCCTATGAATAGGGCTTTCTTTGGAGGGAATAGGGGATTCTTTTGAAAAATTTTATTTTAGTGTTTTCTTGAGTTGAAGGGAGGATTCCCACTTTTGGTGTGGATTCCTCAGAGAGGGGAGAGGGGAGAGGGGAGAGGGTATCTTATTGAAGTGTGGGATTTTGACAAAAATGATCCACTAAACTTCCATCTCTCCTCCATAGCATTCTTGAACCCCTTTTCTACATTTCTTGTGGCTGTCTACCCAAATTTTGACTGCAAGAAATCCAAAATAGCAGCAGGACAAAAAACCCTAGAAGAATGTCATCTGCAAGATTTCCAACGAAAAAAAAAAGGAAAATAATTTTGGCTTACAAAGGCTAAGGATCCATAAAGTTTGCTGGCACGAATAAGTGAAAAAAAAAAGGAGTGAATAGGATGGATGGCCAAAATGCAAGAGATGAAAAAATGTTGGCCACAATTGAGAAAAAGCTAATGTTAATACAGCAAAAAAAAAGAAGTTCAGCGTATTGAAATAAAAAATAAAAAATAGGCAAATATAGGTAATGAAAACAAGAGTTACGTTCACAATATGTTAGCCCTTATGCATTGGTTTAATCTTTTGCATTGATGAGTGCATATCTACTAGGATAGTAGCTCATATGGCCCTTCTAATATTTCACCCTCCTAATAATAATGGTATCAAAGTTATCTGCTCAACCCTAATCAAGTGATTTATCACTTGTGACTCCCATGAGCCTTGAATACTTATACAACAGCCAAACAAGGCATACTAGTATGTGGCAACCACATAGGCTTTAAGCTTTTGATGGGACACCCTAGTTCATAGAAGCTAAAGGTGTTGAAAAACTTCCATTTAAGGGAGAATGGTAATAAAAAAAGCTGAACACTTATGCAAGTAGTTGTTAAGATCCAAATGAGAGTGAAAAGTAGGTCAGCGTTAAAACAAAAAAAAAAAAACGGAGAGTTAAGTTCTTAATATAATAATAGTGGTCCTTGCACAAGGTTTGAGTTTTGAGTTGATGGGAATCCATCTACCATTGTATTGGTCTTAATTTAAGCATCCAATAATTCTCCCTTCAGCATAGCTTAGATCAAAACTGATGAAAACAAATCTACCAAGAACAATCACCAAAATTGGTCAAGATGCCAGTTTAGACCAAGCACTGATTTAAATACGTGTTATCAACATCATTATCCTCATCTTAACTACGTGGGATTAGTATTATGAAGAAATCCTAGTTTAATGAACATAATATGAACATTATACAATAAATAAAGAGAAAAGCCATAGTGTCCTATCAATCGAAATAAATATGAATTATCTATCCAATATTTCTTAAAAATGAAAACTATGAATAAATTTTACAAGAAACTATCACTATACATACTAATATAAATAGATAAAGAAATAAAAATCGCAGCAATTTACTGAGGATCAAGAATAGAAAAGGTGTAATGTGGGCACATCTGAACTACCTAACTATTACCTATTATTTTTGTTTGTTAGTGTGATTGGCTCGTTGTAACATTGATTATATTTTGGGTTTTTATGTGGATTAAGGATCATGAAAAGCTTCTTCGAAGTCCTAGAGATTTTTCTTCAATGTTTTTTCCCCCTTAAACTTGGGGTTCTTTTTGTTGCAGCTACACAGGATGTTTTCAGTCATTTTGTTTTTCATACTTAGGTATTTTGTCATATAATTGTCATCTAAAGCTCCTTATACAATCTATATTTTATTTTAATTTAATTTTGAGCTCCCCACGTTGTGGGATTAAGGATTTGTTGTTGTATTGTATTGTTGTTATGTTTAATTTTGAACTCCGCCCTCAACTTTCTCTAAATTATTGTGTACAATTAATCACGTCCAAAGCAAATTGATTAATTAGATTTTGAAAATCAAATCCATGGTCCTATCAAAAAATAAAGCCACGCATGTACAGAAAATTCCAATCAATTTAATTAATGATATATTAAATAATGAAGGCTTTTATTATCAGATTCACCAAATGAAAATTAACCTGTTTAGCTCACAAAAAAGGTGGAACCAACTGAATTTAAATCCAAAACAAACTCTGGTGAGGCAATGATTACTAGTTTTCATTGATATTTAGCTCATAAACAAAAATATATCAGGAAAAAAATTGCAAACATTATATTTTTCCACTAGCATACTCGATTAATCATCTAATGAATATATCAATAACTAATTATCTGATGAATGTACCTGTAGTTATTAGATAAATAGTTAATAAGGGATATTCTTTCATACAATTTAATTGAGTGATAAATTTCAAACATTCAACACTCAAAATAAAAATGAAGATAGATCTGGAGCACAAAGAATAGTATAACACTAAATTTCATATGTTTTCAAAGTCATCAATCTTTTCATCAGATGTAAAATTTATGCCTCACTGTATGGCTAGATAAGGAGAAGTTTCAAAGATTTCTCATAATCAATTTGGATTTATGCCGGGTAGGTCTAATGGAGTCTACTATGGAAGCTATACATTTATTGAGAGGTTTGATGGAGAAGTTCAGAGATAATAAGGAGAATCTACATTTAAATTTTTATTGATTTTGAAAAGCTTACGATAAGGTTACAAGAGATATCCTTTGGAGAGTTCTTGAGAAGAAAGGTGTCGGCATGATTTATATTTAAGTCATTAAAGATATGTATACTAGAGCTATTACTTATATTCGAACTAAAGGAGGATTGACCACATATTTTCCTATTTCTGTTGGATTACATCAGGGATTGACTTTAGGCCCATATCTTTTTGCTTTAGGGCCCGTTTAGCGCAGCCTATTTGGTGCTGTGGCGTTTTGAAAACGCATCTGACCTGTTTGGGTAAACTGCGTTTTGGTAGCTTATGCATTTTAAAAACGCTGAAATCAGCATTTTCAGACCTCAACTATTTAGGCGTGGTGACAGCTTTCTGTTAGTAGTCTGATTTTTCCAAAAAAATAAAAATTTGCAATAGCCACCGCATATATCTTATCAACATATTATTTTTAATCAGTTGATCAGCAAATTATTCAATAAGCTAAAGATGCCCCAAACAGATCCTTAGTTATGGATGGACTTACTGGACATTTACACGAGGATGAACCTTGGTGTATGTTTTTTGCTAATGATATCCTTCTCGTGGATAAGACGAGAGAAAAAGCCCAGGAAAAACTTGAATTATGGAGGTTTACATTGGAGTCTAAAGACCTTCATTTGAGTAGAACTAAAACTGAATACATGGAATGTAATTTTAGTAGTAATAGCTCTAGTGACAGAAGTGTGACTTTGGGTGATCAAATTATTAAAATGTGTG